GTGTGTGTGAGAGAGAGAGAGAGAGAGAGAGAGAGAGAGAGAGAGAGAGAGAGAGAGAGAGAGAGAGAGAGACCGACCTGCTGGCAAGCTGGCGTTGTCGTCGACTGGGGGCGGCTTGCTGCGACTCCTAGCGGTTGCTGCTCGACGATGCCTTCACCGACGGCTTCATTCCTGGCGGCTGGTTGGCGATGGCTTCAGCAACAGCTTCGACAGATGCTGCGAGGACACACACGAGGGAACTGGCAGCAGTGACGGGCGGGGGTTTCGAAAACGGCAACTTCGAAATTACGCCGCCAACCACCCAATACCCCGCCTCAAACACCCGACACCCATCCTGACTCACCTGTGTCCAGTAGCGGGACCCATGTCCGGTAGGCCAAAACGTGCCTGAAAAATCAGGCCCGTATTTTTCAGGGGGCGCCCAGGACGCGGTAAATGTCCTGGGCCGCCCCTTTTTTTTTTCGAATTTTTGCTTGGGCCCCTCTTTCGGGACGTTCGATACCGGACAACGGACCCGGACATTTGGCTCCGGACTGTCTGGAACGTGGTCCGGACGTCCGGTCGGTTACCATGTTACGGAGACAATTCAATTAAATTTGAGATCGTGGGAACTGGGGAAACTTTGATGCCTTTGGGGTTGACCAATGCCTCTACAACTTTCCAATGCTGAATGAACGATATGTTCAGAGATTGGCTTGACCGATTTGTTGTTGGACACTTGGATGATATTTAGTGTTTAGCAAGACTCTAGAAGAGCACCGGGAGCATCTGCAGAAGGCCTTGACAAAGTTTAGAGAGAGTAAGTTTAAGGTGCACCCAAAGAAGTGTGAATGGGCCAAATAGCGAGTGTTGTGTCATGGCCATATCAGAGATGGGGAGGGGGTACAGCCGGAGACTGGCCCATGCCAAAGACCTGACTGAATAGCGTTTGTTCCTACGATTCGCCAATTGCTATACAAAATTTGTAAGGAACTTCTCAAATATCACGGCGCCATTACACAGACTAATAAAGAAGGAAGCCTTGTGCTTGTGGGGTAAAGCGGACACTTCAAAATGTTGAAAATGGACCCTTCCACACCGTTTGTTGTTACTACAGATGCAAGTCCGTATGGGATAGTTGTGTTGCCGCAAGATGATGGTATAGGGTAAAGTCCTGTTCAAACGGTTGCCATTAGAGAAAGTAGCAGATTAAACATACGAGAGAGAATTATACGCATTTTACGAAGCACTGCGAACTTGAAGGTATCACCTGCTTGGTAGACACTTCGAAGTTTATTGAGATCGTGAAACACTACGTTGGCTGAAGACTCAGTCATGAATGTCGACTAAGCAGATTCATGATGACAAGTCAGTCTAGATTGTCGACAAAGTTAGCCCCGTGTTACGACTTACGTAGATGCAAGACAACACTTGCAACAGAAGATTAGAGATGCATGTGAAGAGGATAGCATCCTCAACAAAGTCATGGCTAGAGTCTGGGAGAAGCCTCATGAAGTTCTGAGTATAGGTTAGCAAATGGATTGTTGTTCCGCACATTGCATGGTAAAGACAGGCTTTCCATCCTGAGTAAGGAGAAGATTTGTAGCATCGTCCTTGGCGAATGTGACGATATGGACGGACGCTTTCGTTGGAGAAAGACGTACGCGAACTGACTTCGCTCATATACGTGGGCAGGAATGAAGATAGAGTGTATCAGATATTTTGTATCAGATTTATCCAGGGGTTTAGGGTTTGCCAAAGGAATAAGAATATGACGAGCGCTCCTAGGACTGCTGAAACCTCAGGGCGGAGAATTAGCTTCTATAAACTTCAGACTTCGTTCACATACTTGGGCAGGAATGAAGGTAGAGTGTATCAGATATTTTGTATCAGATATATCCAGGGGTTTAGAGTTTAACAAAGGAATAAGAGTATGACGAGCGCTCCTAGGACTTCTGAAACCTCAGGGCGGAGAAATAGCTTCTATGAACTTCATTGACTTCGTTCATATACTTGGGCAGGAATGAAGGTAAGAGTGTATCAGATATTTTGTATCAGATATATCCAGGGGTTTAGAGTTTGCCAAAAGAATAAGAGTATGACGAGCATTCCTGGGACTGCTGAAACCTCAGGGTGGAGAATTAGCTTCTATAAACTTCATGAATACCAAGGACAAGAATAGAAGAAGAAACACTCAAATTAAGGTCATAGTAAATAGGCTTAACGAGTATGCTGAGTTTGTCCCTTTGCCCGCAGAAGCAAAATCAGATTTAGGGATACGTGAGTTCTTTGCACATTGGGTCAAGGACAGCAGGCACCCTTTGACGATAGTCAGGGATAGAGCTGTTAGGTTCACGGGTGACCACTGGCAACTGCTCATGAAACTCTATGGATCACAGTTGGCTGCAGTTGACTATGTGGTCAGGTATGCACCCTGAGATGATCGGTCAAACTGAGCAGATGAACAAGCTGCTGCAGCAAACCCTTCATATGTATATTAGACCGAACCAGATAGATTGGGATGCAAATTTACCCAACGTAGCCAGTGCGTATAACAATTCTGTCCATTTGTCGACAAGTAGAACACCGAAGGAGTACCAACTAGCCTAGCTCAGTTGGTACACCCCTGAACTGTTGAAATACAGACCTGAGTTTGAACTCCAGTGGAAGCAGATGAGTAAAATATTACAATTCTGAATTGCCTAGGGCCGGTCAGTTCGCTGATGATATCTCGAGGCCGTCGCCCGTTTTTTGAAAAAAAAGAAACCGAAGCAGTCGCACAAGGGTTGGAAACTGCAAAGACCTATAGACTTCGCAAATCCTGATGAAATCCTGGGATTGCCACCTGGCACTCGGGAATTCGCACTAGAATAGGAGAAGGACCTAGGGAAAGTTACTGAGAACATTAGACATGCGCAGCTCAAGATGGTAGAACATGCAAATAAAAGACTGTCACAGTTTGCCGTAGATGATATAGTCTGGGGTAAGTCTAAACAAAGAGTCCCATCCTGAAAGAAGGAATTTCGCCGAGATTGCTACCTGTGTATAGAGGACCATGGCCAGTCCTAGACGTCATCGGAGATGCAGACAGCCCATTATATGTCATTGATTTCCCTCCACGCTTGCAAACTTACCCTGTATTCCATTCCTCCCAACTGCTGCCTGTGAACTCGGACAGGTCCTTCACCTCTCACAGCTCCATGATTCGATGTAATATGGATGGAAGCTATCATATTGATGGGATAGTTGATGAGCAAACACTCAGAACAGGAAGAAGGGGACAGCCTCAACAACAGTACGAAGTACGGTGGCAGTCCCAGGACCAAGGAGAGGATTGGGGGTTCCCTAACGACCAGTTAAGTGAGACAGCACCAAGAATAGTCTCCCACTATGAACGACCCGGGAGGGGTATTCACATTGAATACCGCTAGCTAAAGCCCATAGCTTTCTCGGAGGACCTTGAAATTAGGGCGGCGGGAGTGAAAGGATTTCATGCATCTCCGAAGCCCCAGTGCCAGCTCCGAGTCCCAGGGCTCCGGTGACGAAGTCCCAACCGGTCAGAGTCCCAGGCCTGTCCTCACAGTAGCAGGTAGGCCCAGTAGTTCTGTCCGAAATAGGGCAGTAGGGTAGCACTCTGGTTGGTCCAGTTCGTTAGTTGTCCCAGGAAAGTCTGTGAACATTCTGGAAGCGTCTAAAACAGACCATGGATGGCAGGCAAAAGGGTACCAGTCCGGAAAGATCCAAAATGCGAAACTGTTGCAAGTACCTAAGGCTGGCATGAGCCGAACGTTAAGACAATTTCCTCTCATGCCTAAAGCGGAAGGGCTGTTTTCTTGTCTTGTGCGGGAAGCAGCGAGTGAGGCTGAGAGACAGAGTAGTTTAGTCAATGGCACTCAGCGCCATAGCTGATAGCAAGAGAGAGTGAAGTAGAGGGAAGACATTCAGAGAGTGTGAGCAAGGCCTGGAGGGGGAGAGAGAGGGAGGGAGAGAGAGAGAGAGAGAGAGAGAGTACCTGAGCAGACCATAGCCGCAAGTGTATGCATACATAGGACTCAAACTTCAAGCTATCTCCAGAGTGTTTTCATCTTGTGTCAGAGTGCTCCCTTGTGTGCAAGGTTGGATGTGATGAAGAGTGAGTCATGAGAGTGAAGCCGTGTGTTCATCATGGCATATATCAATATTTTGTTATTTCAACATCTACACTCATCGGATCGTGCACTTCTTCAGCATATGCGGATCTGAGAGTGCCCACGCTGCCAAGTATGAGCTTTTTGAGTACCTTGTTGCTTTTTCTAAATCAGAACTACATGAAGTCCTTATTTCTGAACCCAAACACAGCCTCTCACCAGCTTCTATTTTTCATTGCAGGTTTTGCTGACGTCAAATGATGAGAACTCCTTTATTGTCAAGGCCTTAGTCAGGCACACGCGACGCCCAGAAGTAATATTACTGAGCCCATCCTCTATCTCCCTTCATGACCTCTTGCTTTGTGGACGTTTTGCTGTGTATACTATCCCTGTGTGTGTGGGGGGGGGGGTGTATGGGTGGGTTGGGGGCCTGTGTGTGGGTGTGGGCGTGTGCGTCTGGTTTGTGTGCATGTGGGGTGTGTGTGCGTGTGTGTGTATATAAATTTATGGCTGATGACTTCAGTGCAACACAGCTGTACTTCAAACGGCCACCTCTCAGCAGGAAAATGTGCACAAAGACTTGAAGACAATTCTAACATTACTCTTCAATGGACAGAACAATTGTGGAGAGTTTTGGACCTGTTACTCGGGAGCTGAAACTGGGGTTCCCCCATTAACCACGTGTGACACAAGGAACAAAGACTGCAAAAAACACAAGACCGGGAAGAACCCAAAAAAAAACACAAGTGAAAGGCCGAAAGAAAATGCACGTAGAAAAGAACAACACGGATAGTGACAGACTGTGTCGTTGGACTTGCACCGACTCCTCAGGAGGCTGAACCCTCGACAATCTCCAGAATCCCTTTTTTCCCCCTCTGAACACTGCTCCAGTGTATTGGTGGGGAGCTACACCTGCGGAATCCCCATATTGATGCTTCCAGTTATGAACTCTTTTGACCCCTGTTGAGAGTGGATGGCCAGCAGGTGACACCACAAGCGGAACAAGGGAGCAAGGCAACAACACAGCAAAGCACAAGGCAGTGCTGACAAAGCAGCCAAACCACATGGCACACAAGCAAACTGTATGGAAAGACAAGGCAGGTGAATGGGCAGCAAGGCAACAGCGCAATAAGGCTCAAGGCAACACTGACGAAGTCGGCAAGCTACATGGGAAACAGAAGCTGCTAGGAAGGCGTGGCAAGCGGATGGGAAGCAAGGCAGCGGAGGAGCGCACACAAGGCAGTTCACACATCGAACACGGGCCAAAGCAGTGCTAACCCGCTGACCCCACAAACTGAACCCCACAGAATGTTGGTTCCCACCACCCTTGGAGCAAGGAAGCCACTCCAACGAACGTTCGTCATCACCCATGGAACATGCACCCACAGACATCCCAAATGGGTACTCCAAGCAAACAGACATCGAGTATTATTCCCTTCTTAGAGGTGCTCACTTAGACACACACAAAAAACTTAGAATAAAAAGCAGAGAGAGAGAGAGAGAGAGAGAGAGAGAGCAGCGGTTCTTTGGTAAGTTTTTTTTTCTTTCTTTTACAAGCAAACTTAGCAAAGTGTATTCCCGGGCCGTGCCCACGGCATAAAACAGGTACAAGGTAGAGGGGACAGGTTGCTGCTGAAACTTACCAAGGTGGAGCTTCTCCTCTGTAGAGCACAAGGTCCCCGTGCATTTCTTTCTGGCGCAGCTGCAGCTGCACTGGCCCTTCTTGTTCATTCATAATTATAGTGCACCCTTGCAGACAAGTGGTCCAACTGACTTTCCGGGCAGGATGTCCAGATTCAGGCCCCAGACGGCTCAGGGGTTGCCACGTGTCTGCCCTCTATGGTCGAAATGGCATCCCAATCTCTCTCTCTCTCTCTCTCTCTCTCTCTCTCTCTCTCTCTCTCTCTCTCTCTCTCT